CTCACACATGGCTCGAAAAAATTTGCATGGGCACTGCGACGGCCACACCCTGGTCGGTCAACGGCATCGACCTGCCAGATAAACTGTGTGAAGGTAGTAGGAAAGATTTCCCGATCTGACCGGTGAAGGGGAACCTGACTCCCTTATCCATTTGTGCCAAGCTGTCATCGGCAAGTCGCCAGTCTATGGGTAGGAGATGGGCCTCAGAGATCAACAGCTTTAGTAGTTGGGCGGGAGGGACAGGGTAACCTCAACATCCCAGGTGCCAGCCATTGCATTATTTGGCCTTGAATGTCACCACGAACCACAATTACAAAAGGGGACCACAACGACGGCTCAAAATTCGTTAAGTGAATAAATAAATCAAGTGAAATAATACGGAAGATTTTCCCGTATAAAATAAATGCACTTTTTTTTTTTTCGTTATTAGTTCCAGGCTTATCGATGCGCCTACGTCTATATTCACACGTGATACGAATCGTCCCTGAAGATTTACGACCGCTCAAGACATTAATTATTCTCACACCTTTTCTCCGATGGCAACAGACACGTTTTCCAGCTGGTCGGAGTCTTGCCGGCTTTCATTTAAATTCACCTTTATTTATCCGGTCTTTGCGTATCACTGATTATTGGTTGCTATGGAGATATCATTTTTACCTTCGTAGACGTTATGGCGAAATAATTTTTCTACAGAAACGACGAATTAGCGGACACACCTGTCTATGCAAGTGAGTGGAAAGATTTATATATTTCTTTTGCGTATATTCCAAGTAGATTGACCGCTGCAGTCAGGAAGTGTACAACCTGGAAAATGGCTATTTTTGTATAAATCTGCTGCTCCTTGGGCGTTAGTTCAATCGGTTTCCAGATCAAAGTGAATCTACCCATAATAAATATCACGACAGAAAAAAATGAAAATAATAAGCTCTATACAATCTTCCAACAAGCACAAACAGGTCTATTTTAGTCTATACTTATTGTGTGTGGTCGTCTTACACTCTATGTGATACAGTACAACACGAAAGTATTACAGATGCAGCTGAAGAAACGTCATGAATATCGCAGTAAAGATGAGGACAAGAGTTCGAACAATGTAAATAATTACAAAAGCAACCTTCCAAAATGATTACTGAAAATAAAAATATGACAAAACAATAAAAATTACTGAAAATAAAAATATGATAAAACAATGACTAAACAAATTTCGCCTTTTGTTAGTTGAAACTGAACGTTTTAAGTTTGATTTAATGAAGATATTTAGACGAGTGAATAACATTTATGAGATAGAATTTGAGAAATATTTTACTATAAACCAGTATAAATCCACCAGACATAAAAAAATGAACCCTATCATTTGAATATACGAAAATATAGCGAATCATTAAAACACTATCCTTAGGGAGAAAAAACCTTTTCCATACAACTGAAAGAAACTTTTCTAAATCTTTATATATCTACAGTTCGTTCTATTTTGGTCTATACTCCCTGTGCGCAGTCGCCTTTCGTCATATCCTCGTCAGCACTCGTTCGCATCCGATCATCGGGATCATCGTTCCTTCCTGTTCCCTTTCACTCCCCCGGAGATGGCTGTGAATGAAAGAGATTTTGACAAGACCATTCAAGTGAATTTGATTTTGGTAGACCGAGAAGACGACGCATTTAGCTAGAAGCGCCTCTCGCGGCTCAAAGGAGACTGAGGGAAATCTGGCAAATCTGGTTGCATGTGGCTGTCAGATGCGTGATCTCTAAGGTCCGCATTGGTTACGTGAGCCCGACTGGCACTGCCCTCTTCTACCGGTTTGACCTTTGAGAGCATGTAGACCAGTGGTTCTCAACAGGGGTTCATATGGACCACTTAGGTCCATGTTACATTACTGGTGGTCCACAAAGAAATAAAATAACAAATTGGGGTCCACGGTAATATTTAGTTTTCCATAGAGCAATTTCACTTTGGAATGGTTGTTGCAACTGGGAATTAGAATTTCTACAATAATCTACGCCATATTAAAAGACTAAAATTAGAAAAAACTCTAAAACTAGCAGAAAATAAGATTAAGCTATGTAAGTTAGCGTCCCTTTTTACTCTACCGGTGGCTTTGATTGTAAAAGTTGAATAAAAAGTAGATATAAAGAAAGATTATATGTATAATGGAAAATTATATACGATATTAAACTGCAATACTAAAAATGAAACTAAATTAATAAAAATAGAAAAAAAAAACAACTGTAAAACCAGCAGAAAACGAGATCAAGTGATGTAAATTAGCGTCCCTTTTACTCAACCGGATGTTTTGAAAAGAGTTGAATAGAAACTTAGAAGGATATTTAAAGGAAGGATTATATATATATATATATATATATATATATATATATATATATATATATATATATATATATATAAAAGGAAATTTTATAAAAAATATAATTTATTGTATAAATTAATTTAATATAGTATTAATAAATAATAATATTATTTCTAAATATTAATAAAAAATATTAATATCAGTTAATTAACGGTAGTGTAATGGATAGCGGCTCGGATTGAAGGATCAGAGAGTCGAATTCCAATCGAATCCATTACATTCACTTACGTGCTAATACCCTTGGGAAAGGTATGAATCTTCTTCTTTTTGAAAATTCGCAATAGTCGGTCGAAATTAGCTACCTGAAAACTCCTATTAGCTTAGACTTTAGAGTAACTTTTTTATATAACTATTGTCATTACAATGGCCGAAACGTTGTGATAAATATGGCGACAAAGATGAGGACAATAGTCCGAATAATGTAAATAATGAACTATTGTCATTATTTAAAAGGCTTTTATGCAGAATGAAATGTTATCATTGATAATATTCATTATATTAATTTCATCACGTTTAATATTATTACTTTGTTTCACTAAAATTATATGCAATAAATACAAATTGGGGTGCGTCTTGTACACCCGTACGTCTTATATGCCGTCAAATACGATATATTTTGATTATATTAGAAGCTGATAACTATATTTGTATACAATGTTTCTTTTAATGTCTTAAACACCTTCCTAATTCAATGTTTCTTCCATTTCTGTTTTATGCAATAGAGCCGGTATTAAGCTCCGTTTGCTTTCCCATGTTGATCTAAAGTTTACTGAGTCAATCAATAATTAAATAAATGAATAATTTTTTTTTTTTAAATTGACAGTTTTCAGAGACTAATCAGTATTAGTATATCCCGTTAAAACGCAAAGGAGAAAATAACAGCTTCAATGACATCTTCCAGAAACTGGCACTAAACAATTTTTCTAAGAGAAATTGAAAAAAGAAAAAAAATGTCTCGATCAGAATTATTTTTTTTCGAAAACCGTTACTTCATTGCTTAAATGTCACTAAATGTCAATCCAATCTTCTCAAAAGGGAATTAACTTTTAAGATTTGTGTCCATAGGTAAATTGGTCACTCAGATATGGCAAAAGAAAAAAAATAATGTACGAATTGATAGAATTTTATTTTAACAAAACTGGTACCAAATCGAGTCGGTGTGACATGAAGATCATCTGTAAGTACAAAACTTTATAACTGACCCAATGAAATACCTTGGTCACCCCACAGGACAAGTCCTTATAATCGAGTTAATGTGACACCCAAATCATCCCGAAGGACACATCTTTATAATCGAATCTATTTGACGCCAAGATAACATCAACGGAGACGTCTCCATAATCGAGTCTATGACACCGAGCCTCACTTGAATGGCACGCTTCCTTACTGAAAACGCAAACAATAACAATCAACTCTAGGCTCAAATAAATTTTCAGCCATTCAAATATTTTTCCCTGTACACAATGACCAATCGTATAAAAATACGTAGTAGACATATTTACTAATGTGAGTTCACTCCTAGGTGCTTCAATTTTTTTTTAATCAGATTATGTTAAGCTTATTGTATATACAAAGTACGATGGGTAAATTGTCGTCATTTTATATTTTTAATCTCGCGCATGCAATTTTGATATTGTCGACTGCCCAGTATAGTAGGGTCAGTTGGGCACCGTCTGTGAGAAAAAGAGCACCATGGCGCAATTCTCTCTGCTAGAAATTTGGAAACGGCATTCTGTACTGCCTGGTATTCGCACCGGAAGCTCCAATACGAATATTTCACAGTGTTTGGGTGTTAATCTAAGAAAAGTGCAGAGAATTTGGCAAGAGTTGGATGAGTCTAATGGGGATTACGAAGGGGTTTGGAGTGATCACTAGTGATAGCGACGTTATGCCTCTATTCGTCTTCCCACAGGGTCTCAGACTCAACACGGAAACCTACATCAAGTGTCTTGAAGAGGTAATGCTGCTCTGAGTTAAATGGGTGGCTGTTGGTAGACCCTATGCCTGGTAAGTGAACTCTGCATCATGCCACATAAGCAGGAGAATGGATGTCAGACAATTTCTGCGACCAGGTCATCCTTTGCATCCAGCCACCTAACTGCCCAGACTGCAACACCCTTGGTTATTATGTGTGGAGCGAAAGATCAACGAAACTCCTTGTAACACCAAAGATGAAATGAATGTATGATTTATGGCAGCATTCAGCAACTTAAACAAGAAGACCATCCAAAAGAGTTGCAGGAGATTCCGAAGTCGTCTCTTGTTCATGGTTGAGGCCAGTGATGATTTTATTGAATAAATTTACTCTTTAGTATTTCAAGATATTTTTGTGTAATTTTGGTAACTACATCTGTTAAAACAAGATGTCAGTGTTATTTTCATTTTTGCGTCATTTCGATGTTTCGTTTCTTTTGATAAACAGCGTAAGAAAAAAGAAAAGTAGACGTTAATGGCGAAGAAATGAAAAACGACTTTATTTGTTTTTGGAAAAAAAATATTCTTTTAGTATTGTCAATCTGGGACAAGGTTACGAAGCGAAAATGTTCTTCGTGCAAATCTGTTTTACCGATATAGCTCGATTATGTATTGGATAGGTTCAGTACACCCACACACACACATGCACATACACACAGGCACACAAAGAAAGAAAGAAAGAAAGAAAGAAAGAAAGAAAGAAAGAAAGAAAGGCGCCTGGGGTAGGTAGGAAGAGGAGAGCTATGTACCTGATATAGGACTGAATGAAAAAAAAAATCAATTTCGAAAAACTAAAACTGACAGCAGAACTTGAAGACGTCATTCAATATGTTTTTAGCGGGAGAAAGAAATGTCTTGTTAATTTTAAAGTTTCCAAAACGAAACTATACTATTTTAGTCATCTTAGAGAACCATTTTTACCTTAGAGCAGCACGGCTGATGCTAACCTCCGGAGGATCAACTCGTTACGTCTCCTCGGTCTTAGGTTTTTTGACTGACATGAAATGGAATGATTCTATTGAACAAATTGCTAGGTCTACTGCTAGGAAAGTTGGTTCACTGTGTCGGACAGGCAATTTTTCTCGTCATAATCCGTCTTATACATTTCTCTACCATTCATTCATGCATTGGATACTGCTGTCATATCTTGTTTGTTAATTAGGCTATATATCTCAATATATTGGCAGAATCAAAAGAAAGGTCTCTAATGTTATAGGTACTGAGCTGCTTTCTCAGCTTTAGTCACATTCTCATATATATATATATATATATATATATATATATATATATATATATATATATATATATTACACACACACACACACACACACACACACACACACACACACATATATATATATATATATATATAGAAGACAAAAATTACCTTAACATGGGATAGTCTATTTCAGGCGGTTCTGTAGGCGGCGGCTATCATCAGCCTCTAAGTGTCTGTCTCAGAGCTTGCTTAGGGGCTGATGATGGCTGCATACAGACCGGCTAGAAACAGATTATTCTAAGTTAAGGTAATTTTTTTGTTTGTTTTTTTTTTTTTTTGGTTTTTTCGTTTTTTTGGTTTTTTTTTTTGCTGTAAAATATGCATATGCTCTGTTACAATAAATACATCTGTCCCAGTGGATCAGTTTGAATAATTAACATTACTAGGATCCACTCTGATTATGTACCAACGGATCGATTACTTGTATTATATATATATATATATATATATATATAAAAGAAATATGTTGTAGGTGGTTCCAACAGTTTTTATATGTCCGTTGAAAATGTTTTGTTAATGTATATTAAAATTTAAGGGGTGCCGCAAACGATACGTGTTTAATGCGAGATTTACCAGAAAAATATTAAATATGTAAAAAAAAAGTAAAAATATTTTTCTCAATAAACACATTACAACCAAAAACGTTTGCGGCACGTGTCTTTATTATATATATATATATATATATATATATATATATATATATATATATTGAAAAGATTTTTTACAGGTACAAAAAATTTTATTATAGCAAGGAATAAGCGGAATGTAAGGACATAATTATGAAAAAAAACTAAGAACTAAAACAAACAACCGGTTTCGTCCCAGTACTCCTCAAGTTTGATACACTGGGATTATTTAATCATAAACTTAAAAACAAAAAAAAAATCATTCAATGAGGGGGAAAGGGAAAAAAGGGAAAAAAATAAAAATAAAATAAAATAAAAAAATAATTAAAGCCAACTAGTGAATACATCCGGGTCATCTATAGCGGAACACGCTATAACTAGCAGGGAATGTGTTGCTGGTTTGAGTGTTGACTGTTTTTCCATTCTGGCGAAGTCACACTCTGCATATCATTTGAAGGTTCTTGAGTCCATTTACATCAAGTCCCGCAGGCCGTTTCTCTGTAAGCAGAGAGATTGCTTGTTGGGCTTGAATGTGATTGGGCTCTAGTTCTTTCTATCATATATAAAAAAAAAATTTTTCTCCCTTTTCTCCTCATTGAATGTTTTTTTGTTTTTAAGTTTATGATTAAATAATCCCAGTGTATCAAACTTGAGGAGTACTGGGACAAAACCGGTTGTTTGTTTTAGTTCTTAGTTTTCATAATTATGTCCTTTACATTCCGCTTATTCCTTGCTATAATATATATATATATATATATATATATATATATAAATTTCCAAGAGGATAGAATCCAGGTAGAACTCAATGTCCAGGACAGAGTAAGAATATAATAAAAAGGCCTAAACACAAATATTCTATGGTTATAATTTCTCTCTTTAAAACTACTCTCTGTTAAATTTTAATCCCCACCTTCACCTTAAGGCCTTTTCTGTCCTTCTTTTCTTCTCTTACACCCTCTCTCTAGAGCTTTCATACATTTCCCTCTCACACTTGTTTCCCACTCCCACACAGATACTCGCACTAAATTTTGTTTTTTATACCCAGGGTTATATTTTCCGATTTCTTTTTGAATTTGTAGGTCTGATGAATTGATCGTAATTACGATTCCAATGTAATAAATTATAACCAAGAAATATTAGTGTTTGAGCATTTTTTTATATATATATATATATATATATATATATATATATATATATATATATATTATAAATTAATTGACAAAAAATATGGTTTTTTCCGCTACACAGTTCCAACCATGTTTCAAAAATAGAAGCTGAAACCCTGAATTTAATTTTTTGCAATTAAATTAAAAGCATTAGTTCCATTTCATCTTCAAGCGAATTTTGGAGTAACTTTTTAAAAATTACTGGGTTTTAAAGACACAGCTAAAATCACGTTTCCATGGTTACAGAATATTCTACTTATATATATATATATATATCTGTGTGTGTGTGTGTGTGTGTATTCTGATACAAATTAGATCAGGCAAAAAGTGTTAATAAATGGACTATTTTCTTCCGATTTAAGCAGTACCTATGAAGATTTGATGATAGCCTTCGCCACTTCTTCATCTGTTTAATGTCCATCAAGATTTTACCAAGGGGAATAACTGCCTACTTATAATCCCCAACGGTTAAGCAAACTAAAATATTCAGCTAGAGGGAGTTGGGATGATTCCTGTGTGGAAAAGCCCAAAATAGAATTCCTGAGTGGAAGACTAAAAAGACAGAAAGAAATACAGGAAAAAGATAAAGAGGCAAAAGTAAAATATTTCTGAAGAAAGAAAGAAAGAAAGAAAGAAAGAAAGAAAGAAAGAAAGAAGACAAAAAAAGGAAACGAACGAAGAAAGATTGAAATGCAGATGAAATGAGACCAAAGATGTCCCAGGGGAAAAGAAAGAAAGAAAGAGAGAGAGGGAGGAGGAATGAAAACTAAATAAATAAGAAGTAAACGAGAGAAAAAGAAAAGGAGACAAACTAAGAAAGAAAGAAAGAAAGAAAGAAAGAAAGAAAGAAAGAAAGAGGAAGTGACAAAATTTCAGAAGAAAAAGACAGGAAGGAAGGAAGGAAGGAAGGAAGGAAGGAAGGAAGGAAGGAAGGAAGGAAGGAAGTGACAAATAGAAAAAAGAATTTCAGAGGACCGAAAAAAGAAAGAAAAAAATAACGAAGGAAAGAACGAGAGAAAGAAAGAAAATAGAATAAAAAATAGAAAATGAAAAGAAAAAAGAAAGAGAGGGGGGTGAAAAGCAAATAAATAAATAAGAAGTAAACGAAAGGAAAAGAAAAGAAGAATGCATAAATGAGACAAATTGCGAAAGAAAGAAAGACAGACAGACAGAAAGAAAGAAAGAAAGAAAGAAAGAAAAAGAAAGAAAGAAAGAAAGAAAGAAAGTGACAAAATTTCAGGAGAAAAAGAAAGAAACAAAGAATAAAGGAAGGAAGGAAGGAAGGAAGGAAGGAAGGAAGGAAGGAAGGAAGGAAGGAAGGGAAAAAATTTAATAGCACAGAAAAAGAAAGAAAGAACAAACGAAGGAACGAGTGAAAGAAAAAAAAATAGGATAAAAATTAGAAATGAAAAGAAAAAAAAGAAATAGAAAGAGAGAAAATAAAAGAAAGAAAGAATGAATGAATGAGGAAGACAAATGTGTCAATGAAAGAAAAAAGAAACGGAGAAATAGTCTGGAAAATAAGAAACGAGAAAAAAAAATTAAGTTAAGAAAGAAAGAAAGAAAGAAAGAAAGAAAGAAAGAAAGAAAGAAAGAACGAAAAGACAGAAAGAAAAGAAAGAGAGAAAATAAAATAAAGAACGAGAAATTAAGAAAAAACAAAGAGGAAGAAAAAGTCAGCCATGAAGACAAAATGGAAGGAAATGGAAACAGATAGATAGGAAAGTAAGAAACGCGAAAAACAAACATTAAGTTTCGAAAAAAGAATGAAAGAAAAAAAGAAAGAAAGAACAAAGAAAATAAAGAGACAAAATAAAAGAAGGAAAGAAAAAAGAAAAAGAAAGAAACAAGAGACATTAAAAGAAAGAAAGAGAGGAAAGAAAAAGAAAAACAGAAAGAAAGAAAAAAGAAAGAAGACAACACAAGAAAGTAAGATATGAAAATATGAACGCGATAAAAATATATGTAAAAAAAACGAAAAAATCCAGAGAGAGAGAGAGAGAGAGAGAGAGAGAGAGAGAGAGAGAGAGTAAGTGAGTGAGAGGGAGGACAATAGAGAGTTCTTTGATAGCAGAGGCCCCAATCTGTAGAGGAATTGAACATGGTCTGGCCTCAGGGAATACTGAAAATATTTCTAGTCTGACCTCCCCCGACCCCCAAAAAGAGACATGCCGGATCCTTGTGTGGTCTGCTGAGACAACGGGTGCAAGCTTATATATGCGATAAATCTATCGATTTCAGACACTTTCTTTCTTTCTTTCTTTCTTTCTTTCTTTCTTTCTTTCTTCTAATTATCTATCACATCTATCTATATCTATCTATCTATCTATCTATCTATCTGTCCCGGCATATCTATCTGCTGTCTGGTACTGTTAAATGATTTCATACTTGTAAAATCTATTTAACCTGAATGTGCTCTTTCTGTTTATTATTTTCTTTTTGCATTGCTCTTCGTTCTCTGACACAATATTTAAAATTGATCTCATCGCCTCCTCATCGCACTGCGCCTCTCCCGAAAAAAGCAAGTTTACCCTCTAAATTTATTTAATGTTCTGACTAAAAATGTCGGAATTTCACCCATCCAGCGTCTTCTTCCGTGTTTCCCGCTTCCCGTTCATTTTCCGACGTTAGTGTCAATAGTTAATTCAATTTTCCCTCTTTAAAATTTCCTCTTGGACAGCCGAGGATTTCCGCCCGTTTGGACTCACTAGCACTTTTTCGGTTTCTCTCAAATTGTCTCCCTCTAATTATCTCTTTAATTTCCTCTTTTTCTCATCTTTTCCTCTCTTTAATTATCTCTTATCACTCTTTCCCTCATTCTCTCTCTCTCTCTCTCTCTCTCAAATGCTTCCTTTTTCTCGCAATTTTGCTTTTCTTTCTCTTTCTATATTTTCTTTCGGTTTTTCCATTCGCTTTCTTTTTCTTTATCTCTCAAATTCTATCTTTCTCTTTCCCCTTCTCTCTTTTTCCTTGCCCTCTTTCTATATTACACCTCGTCCTCTCTCTCGGTCGAATTCTCTGTTTCTCTTTCCCTTTCTCTCTTTTTCCTTGCCCTCTTTCTATATTACACCTCGCCCTCTCTCTCGGTCGAATTCTCTGTTTCTCTTTCCCTTTCTCTCTTTTTCCTTGCCCTCTTTCTATATTACACCTCGCCCTCTCTCTCGGTCGAATTCTCTGTTTCTCTTTCCCTTTCTCTCTTTTTCCTTGCCCTCTTTCTATATTACATCTCGCCCTCTCTCTCGGTCAAATTCTCTCTTTCTCTTTCCCTTTCTCTCTTTTTTCTCGCCCTCTTTCTATATTACACATCGCCCTCTCTCTCGGTCGAATTCTCTCTTTCTCTTTCCCTTTCTCTCTTTTTCATCGCCCTCTTTCTATATTACATCTCGCTTTTTCTCACATTCTTTCTCGAATACTCTTTTTTCTCTTTCTCTTCCTTTTTTCTCCCTCATTGTATATTATATCTCGTATTCTCTCTCTCTCTCTCGAATCATCTCTTTTTCTTTTACTTTCTCTCTTTTCTATCAATATTATATATCACACACTCTCTCTCTCTCTCTTTTGAATACTTTCTTTTTTCCTTTCTTTCGCTTTTTTTCTTTTATCCTATCTTTTCTATCTCTGTCTATATTTTCTCTCGGTTTTTCTTTGGCTTTCTATCTCTGTTTGTCTTTCTGTCTGTCTCTCTCTCTTTCGCTCTTTCTCGAAGCTTCTCTTCTTTCTCTCTTTTTTCTTGCCCTCTTTTTATATTTTTCTCCCACTTTTTCACTCTCTTTTTTTTCTTGTAACCTTATTTTTCCCTCTCCTAATCATGTGCTATTTTATCCTCTCTTGCTCTTCAATAGCAAACCTTGTAGCATGGCATAAAGCCACCAATGTGAAGCAGCCAGCAAGGTTCCATATACTTACCACTAGGATGATCCGATTTTATTATTATTATTATTATTTTTATTTTCTTTGATTTCTGGCGTTTACACATTTCTTTCCGGGTCCCGCCCAGGGACCTAAGGTTAGAAATGGCGTCATGACACTTTCCACTGACAAAAAAAAAAAAAAAAAAAAAATGATTACATAGATAAAGCCCTTCGTAAGGTGTGGGCTGTACTTGTCAGAACAATTTTCTGTATCTCCTTGAGGCATGGACTTCCAGGATTTCTTTTACATCAACAGAGATTTCTTTGGACTACGGGCATATTAAGTTGAAACACCAGTTCTCATACGATCACCGAAGTTAAGCAACATTGAGCCTAATCAGTACTTAAATGGGTGACTACTTGAAAATATCAGGTGCTGTAAGCCTGGATGTGCGGGTGGTGCAATGGATGGCAGCTCGGAATTGGAAATCGAAGAGACGAGTTCGGATTCTAGTTGGGTTCGTCATATTCACTTACGAATTCTAGTCGGGTTCGTCATATTCATATACTCTTGGTAAAAAGGTGAATCCTCTACTTCTCCTCCAGCTATGGGCTAATTAGTAAATCATTATATATATATATTAAAAATATTTTTTGATCAGGAAGATCTACGCCAAATCTATTAAGAAAACGAAAGGCATAGGGAAATTATCCATTTCACTCTGCCAGAAAGTGTGGGGGTAGAAAGAATATGTGTGCGTGTGTTTGTTTGTTTGTGTGTGTGTGTGTGTGTGAGAGAGAGAGAGAGAGAGGGGGGGGATAGACATACATACCGGGAGAGAGAGAGTTGAGATAGATAAATCTGAACAGAATGTGATAGATAGATAGATAGATAGATACGAGAGTTGGTGAAAGACGCCGGGTCAGCTTGAGAGAGAGAGAGAGAGAGAGAGAGAGAGAGAGAGGAGAGAGAGAGAGAACACAGACAGAAAGGGATAGATACATATATAGATAGATACAGAGAGAGTGACATAGACTGAGACAGAGGGAAAAACAGACAGAGAAATGCATAAAAGAACGATAGAAAGATAATGACTTCGTAAGAGATAGAAAGAGCGTCTGATAGAGAGAGAGAGAGAGAGAGCGCGACAGAATGAAAGAAAGACAAATAACGACAGACAACAAGAGGAAAGAGATATAAAGATTGAGAGATAGATAGAAAGAGATGCAGATAGAGTGTGAGATTTCGATAGAGAGATAGACAGAAATTGATAAACCGATAGAGAAAGAGAGGGACAGGAAGACATATAGAGAGATATAGAGAGATAGGTACATCTATACAAAGAGATTGAGATAGGGAAATATAATAACTGAAAGAGATAAAGACAATGGAATAGATATATAATAGAGTGATTGAGATAGATAGATAGATAGATAGATAGATAGATAGATAGATAGATAGATGAGTCAGATAGAGGAGGTGTGGAGGAAGATATGACCAACCAGAGATGTGACCAACCAGAGAACCTGAGAAATAAGTTTGTAGGGTTTTTATTTTTCAAAATGGCGGAATGCGGTCAGGGATTTGGCGGGAACAGGCCAGTAAAACGGGCGAGGCTGATCGGGAAGTCCGCCAAAGTTATTAATCAAACTGTCTTTTTCATTGGACGCCGATTGATCGGTAAATGTCAGGGATGAGAGAATCGGAGGAAGACGAAGTGGCGGCCATTGAGAAGATAATGAAAATGGAGTTTACAAATATCGAGAGAAAAATGCGAAGGTTTTGTCGCGTAGCGAGTGGTGGGGTAGGGTGGGGTGGGCATTCCAGTTGAATAGTTTCCGAAAAGATAGTCTACTAAAAAGAAAAAAAAGGAAGAAAAAAAAGTGGCAATTTCTGGACAACCCGATCCAATCCCAGGTTTGTGGAGCTATTGAGCCGAGCGAAAAGGAAATTGAATGAATCGATCTTGAAATTGATTGATTTAAAAATCGATGAAGTCTTTTTAGAATTTCTTTTATTTATTCAAATTCCAGAATTTTCTTTTTAAGATTTTTCATTTTTGTTTTGTCTTTTTTTCTACAAATCTTGAATACGATTTGTCTTTTATTTAATTTCAAATGTGTCTAAATAACTATATATTTAACATAACTTACCATACGATTGAATCACGATTATATATATATATATATATATATATATATATATATATATATATATTGAAGTGAACATTGAAGAGGGGACAGGCTGTTTCATGCTAGACGCAATCGTCAGGCCTGACAATTGCGTTCAGCATGAAACAGCCTGCCTATCTAAGTATGGACTTCAATGTTTGCTTTTATATTTACTCATGCTCTATCTCTAATATTGAGCACTTTATCCCATAAATATAGCACACCTTAAGAGTATATTTCTTCATATATATATATATATGATAGAAATAAAAGTGTAAAAAATAAAAGTGTAAAAAAAACGGGCGAAGCAACCGGTTTCGCTCCCGCTCTTCAGGCTTCAACGGGAGATTTAATTTAACTTAAAACACAAAAAATGTACAATAAAAAGGAAGTTGTGGTGGGAAAAAATGAGCAAAGAAGGCTTGCTGAACCCGATGTAAAGTGCTTCCAGAACCTTGAGGTGAAAAAAAGAGGGTGACCGGGACAACATAGTGAACCAGTCAACTTTTATTTCTATTATTAAATTTTGTACCTACAAAATATATATTTAAATATATATATATATATATATATATATATATATATATATATATTAACCAATAATATTATCAATATCTATCTATCTATCTATCTATATATAATATTAGTGGTCAGTATATATATGAATTTCCAAGAGGATAGAATCCAGGTAGAGCTCAATGTCCAGGACAGAAGAATATAATATAAAAGGCTCAAGCACTAATATTCCATGGTTATAATTTATTACATTGCAATCGTAATCACGATCCAATTCATCAGACCTACAAATTCAAATTCAATATCATATATATATATATATATATATATATAGTTTTGTCTGACTGCCGTTAGCTGCCAATCTATGTGTCATGACCCATTTATGAAAAATGATTTTAAATTTTTTTCTTCTTCGCTTAGTTTAAGTTTAACGTATGTCATATTTAATTGGTTGATCAGAGTAAAGCCTTATAACCTTCACATTTTAATTTATTTTTCGTAAAAGACGTTGTATTTGCTTTTTAAATCTAAATGAATCGTTTACTCACCAATAATTTACAATCGCCTGATGAGACGCATTGAAACACGACTGCAATTGTGTAGCGATTTTGACATGTTTTCGGTGTAATATCCCGAAATAAACATTATTGCTCTCTCTCTCCCTCTATCTCTCTCTCTCTCTCTCTCTCTCTCTCTATATATATATATATATATATATATATATATATATATATATATATATATATATATATATATATATATATATATATATATATTATGTATATATATATATATATATATATATATATATATATATGGGCAACAAGGAATATTCAATTAATTTTTATTTAGTCGTTCCAACGTTCTTATGTTTTCCCGTTTGGTGGGAGTAAGTGAGTACAAAAATTTTCCATAATTTTCATTGTCCCAAACGCTTTCGCTCCCACCCTTAGCCATTTTTAAGGGGATTTTGTTTTTGGAGTTGTTATTTTTTCTTCATCTTTTGACAGTTTAAATTTTATTTTATTTTTGCGTCGTTTTGAAAAGGAGCGTTTATTTCGAGACTTTGCATGACGTGCACAGCTGAAATTCGAGTGAATGTCTTTCTATTAAAAAAAAAAAAACTTTTAACAGTCGATTCCCACTGTTAAATAAGGTGTGGTTGATAGTATTTGGTTGTAGTGATTTTCCAAGCGTAGCTTAGATATGGCACAAAGTCGCAAATAGGAGGCACCCAGTGAGGATCGAACACAATACTCAGTCATAATTATTCTATTGAGACAAGTTTGCTAACCCTTACGCCACGTCGAAGTGCCCGGCTGGTTGGTCGTATTTGTTTAACGGGGTATCCACATCTATGGGTTATTTAATGCTGAAATTTAAATATTTTGTATGCAATTTTATTTTATCATTTTTAGATAACAGTGGATTTAGTGATAGAATTCTTATTAATTAACCCATAGTTGGGGGGAGAAAAGGTGGATTCATACCTTTCCCAGGGGTATTTGCACCTTAGTGAATATAACGAACTCAAAAGAAGTTTGAACTTAGCTCTACGATTAACAATTCCGAGTTATTATTCATTCAATCACCTGCACTTTCGACCTTACACCACCTTGTATATCCAAAATTTGGAGGCACGGTGGAGTAATGGATAGCGGCTTGGATTGAGGAATCGGAGAGCCGAGTTCGAATTCCAGTCGAATCCATTACATTCACTTACGTGCTAATACTCTTGGGAAAGGTATGGATACTCTTCTTCTCCCTCCAGCTATGGGTAAATAGCAGGGCAGACTGTGTTCTATAGCCTTGGATGGCAACTGGTCTAGGAGAAGGAAAACTCTGAATTCAAACCTGCTTTAGAGGGAGGTGAATGGAATCTCTGAGCCTTGGTTGGCAATCCCTTTAGTGTTGGTGTCACGATAAAAACACACCCTTGATAGCCCTAGCGACGCATCAAGAATTCAGCTATTTGACAAGATTATGAACTACACCAATCAAAGTATTAGCTATGACAGATAAGGAATACTGGAAAGGTGTAGTGAGTTCAATCTCGGCTGAGGCCGCAAGATGATGATGATGTATATCCAAGCGGTCACCCGTGGCTATAGAAGATGAAAAACAGTGATTGCTAATTGTCTCATTTTGTAACTTTATTTATGGGGAGAGATTTACGTTTGATTTCGTTAAGTTTCCTTTGAGTAGTTAAACGAATTTGTTTACAAGATATCTCGATTTACATTATTCGGACTATTGTCCTCATTTTTGCCGCCATATTTATTACGACGTTTCGGCCGTTGTACGCTCCGGCCTTCTTCAGGTGGTTGGAATGTCGAACTGAACCCTTTATTTCGTTCACTGGGGTAGACAGTTTTAGTCCCACTTGCCATGTCTAATGGATGTCAGTTATCAGTTATCTCCTGTTAATTTCCCTCTCCAAGTCCCCCACCGCCTTAACGAGGTATTGAACTCACACTCTTTGGGTCCTGTCACTGGATCTAACTAACGCCTTTATCCACTGTGCCATGTGTCCTTGAAGAAGACCGGAGCGTACAACGGCCGAAACGTTGTAATAAATATGGCGACAAAGATGAGGACAATAGTCCGAATAATGTAAATAGTGTACATAATACCTCATCTCAGAAATATAGACAGATACTGAAGAAAATAAGATAAATATACTGTTTAATAAATAGACGGAGCGTCTACTCAAATATGGGCATCCACTAAAATTAACGTTTAAGTAATAAAATCTGTCGGATTAATAAATTAAAACATCCATTACTTCTTTAGAAATTACTTTGTTTACGTTAGGATACAAAGCTGAACAGATATGAATGTCTGGAGAGTCGGAGAAAGATTTATGTTTCTAAGGCACTATTCATCTGTCATAGGCGATGTACTACGTAGCCGAGTCGCTATAAGCACGTTGGATAAAATGTCGATTTTTTCTGTCAAGTTGGACGCAGGTTCGATTCCTGTCGGAGAGAGCATATTTTTACTTTAATATGATTTCTATCATATTCAGACCGGTAAACGAAAATACATCAATAAACTGTTTGATAAATAAACGGGGCGTCTATTCACATATGTGTTGTAGAGTAGTTTTCACAGTGGAGGCTTGTATTTCAATAAGTCGTCCTAAATTAGATTCGACGTACAAAACGTTAGGAACTTGAAATAAGAGTTAACGACGCAGCAACCTAGTTGTGACGGTTGGTACTTCAATGTCCGATATCGACTGACTCGCTCAACACCACTGAGCCCAACTGGCGACCGCTACTACTACTACTACTACTACTTATTATGTGTGGGAGAGTCTATCAATAATAGAATAGGTACGTCAGGTATAACAATATGTGTATTCACTAAAATTCAAATTAGGCATACATTTGTTTTATTTGTTATTTTTATGAATAAGATCTCAGGGTTTTTTTTGTTTTTTATTGTTGTATTTGTAAGGAACTAATTGAACCGAGAATTGGGGTCAAATTTTGGCTCATGTTCCGACTAGTTTCTGTGAAGTTCTACACATTCCTGATATTATAGGCTTCATCGGAATACCTAAAGGAGATTTGTGAAATAAGAAATGAGCTCTCGAGATTACAAAAGAGGCCCCAAATATTGTAAGGGCAAATCAGACACTTCACGAATGACCCAAAGTACATAGTCCATTTAGTCTCAATTCATGTATGCAGAGACAGATGAATGGATAGTTAAGATAGGGAGAGGTAGACATCGAGAGGGGGTAAAAAAAACTAGAGAATTATTAACTGATTGAGATAGATAGATAGATAGATAGATAGATAGATAGATAGATAGGAATATACTGAGAGAAATAGATAGATAGATAGATAGATAGATAGATAGATAGATAGATAGATAGATAGATAGATAGATAGGAATATACTGAGAGAAATAGATAGTTACATAATGAAGATAGATAGATAGATAGATAGATAGATAGATAGATAGATAGATAGATAGATAGATAGAATTTATTGAGAAAGATGGACGGATGGATAGATAGATAGATAGATAGATAGATTCATATGAAAAGCCTGAGATAGATAGATAGATAGATAGATAGATAGATAGATAGATATGATAGAATAGATAGATAGATAGATAGATAGATAGATGAACAGATAGATAGATAGATAGAATAGATATGAACAGCCTGAGATAGATAGATAGATAGATAGATAGATAGATAGATATGAACAGCCTGAGATAGATAGATAGATAGATAGATAGATAGATAGATAGATAGATAGATAGATAGATATGAACAGAGTGAGATAGATAATGAAAGATGTAGATAGATAAATAGATAATAAAGAGATGTTGATAGATAGATAGGTAGATAGATAGATAGATAGATAGATAGATAGATAGATAGATCAACTGACTGAAATAGGTAGATAAGATCAAACGGAGATAGATAGATAGATAAGAGCAGAATGACAGAGAGAGAGAGGGAGAGGGGGAGAGAAGGGGAGAGAGAGAGACGGGGGATAGATAGACAGATATATATGAACAGAAGTGATAGAGATTGACATCTGAATAGAATATATGTGTATGTGAGCAGAATAAGACGGACCTCCTAATGTCAAGATAAACATTTTTTTTTACTTTTCATTTGGTATGAAGAATTGAAGTTTCAATGAGAAATAAAGTAAGTGTAACAAAAATATTTTCGAAAAAAAGAAGAAAGCAAACAGCTTTAAATAATGCGTAGGTGGAAGAATAATTGTTACTGTTGGAAATATACTGCATATATATATATATATATATGTGTGTGTGTGTATGTGTGTATGCATATGTATGTATGTGTGTGTGTTGTGTGTACGTGTGCTGTGTTGGAAAATGTGTCGGTCGAATGTTCTAAGTGGAGACAAATTTATTTCCTACGAAATGAGCAATAGAAATTTTTCTGAAATTTATTCCGCATGAACACTGGTATCTAGTACAACAGGCAAATGTGAAATTATTTCAACCTTCAGTCACACAGACACACACACACATACACACATACACAGGCACATATACACGCGCGCACACACACACACACATATATATATATACATATATATATATATATATATATATATATATAAACCTAAAGAGCCAGGTAATATCTGTTATATTTAACAATATATATTTGAATATATATATATATATATATATATATATATATATATATATATATATATATATATATATATATATATATATATATATATATATATATATATATATTATTTGTTGAAAAACACAACTATAGTTAAACATGAAAACAATAAACAAAAACTAAAAAATTCTTGAAGCTATATACATAAAACAGTTGAAACCTAACCTAAACAAAATAATCTACAAAATCTCCACAAATATTCTTAAATGCCTGTAATCGATAACTGAAGCCATTGATTTATACCAACGGCTTCCCATACTTAATACTTCCCGTTTTCACTCTCGCGTGGTCAGCTGTGATGCGATTTTTGATTCCGCGTCTCGTATACACGGATTTGTCGTTGCTTTGAAATTTTTCATGCAACAAAAACAGACTATCATTATTGTTCCGTGTATTGGCTGATATATTGAAATGTAATTGTCATCTTTGATAATGGCTTATGTAAGCCGAAAGCTTAGATTGGATTTAAACATGCATCAATATAGTGATTTCCTTTCGTCTTTCAAGGATAATGTTATGAAGGTTATCAGACAATATAAAAGGAACTTACTTAAAATAAATAGACAAAACTTGTCTATATTATTTAATGAAACATGCATCAATGAAAAATTGCTGCCTAAATATACAATATAGATACATATATATATATATATATATATATATATATATATATATATATGTTTGTGTGTGTGTGTGTGTTGAAAGAGATGAGATCAAGCCAAGATATGAAGAGCACTAGATAGATTTAAACGAATTAGGTTTGCTCTACTTCGTTTATTGAGCACTTTACGTAGTTACTTTTACTTTTACTCGTTTTGGAGGGTTTTTTTTAGACTGAGCTTGAACTCTGGACGGTTGTTTTCGCCTCATTTCATGTATTGGTTTGTTCAACTACAAGCCGAAATACCTAAGGTTTTTCCAAGTAAGTACCACTATATATATATATATATATATATATATTTTATATATACATTTACTTGACTATAATTTTCTCCAGCTCCATAGTTTCATGGTAATATGTCCACTTTTTAAGGGGTTAATCTGTATATTATTGATTATGGACATAAATAAATGGACATAAATAATTCTTTTGTATACATAAAAAATATTATCAAAAATATTATTATCAATTACTTTTATAATATTAAGCGCTATGACATATCTACTTCAATTTTAAATATTAAAAAGATTAAATATCTATTCAATTTTAAATATATATATATATATATATATATATATATATATATATATATATATATATATATATATATATATATAGTCTATTGGGACAGCAGATCATTATTCAAACCTATATTGTTAAATATAACAGACGATGAATGTCTATTATGTTTGTTCATGAACCGTTATAGGCTTTCTATAATGGCTTTAGTTTCGGAAGTTATCGTCGCATAGTAAACTTCTATATAAACATAAGAGGATGTCATCTTTGATGGTGAATATCTCTTTTGTTATGTCAACATGACCATCCTTACAAAGCTTAGATCTAGGAACAGCATAATAAAAAATATCCAAATGTTGGACAGTTTTTCCCCGAACCTAAAGCCACTATACGAAGCTTAAAATGGCACATGATCAAACATAATAGACATTCGTTGTCTGTTATATTTAACAATATATGTTAAATATATATATATATATATATATATATATATATATATATATATGGAAAGAGATAAGATCAAGCCAAGATATGAAGAGCTCAAGATAGATTTAAGCGAATGAGAGATAAATAAATAAAACCTTCGTGTAACAATGTTTAACAAGCTAGTCTTACTAGATCAATTACTACTGAAGAGTGAGTTCACTTTGTGCTCCATACTTTCAGACTTGTGTCACATCTAAACTACGCTTACAAATCGCATTTGTATAATGGAGGCTGGCTAAATACCCACACGAATTCGACTCACAGACACTCGTTCTATGAGTTGAACGCGCAAATGTCAGTCAGCTTTAGGCAGAAAGATAATTTCAACAGGTCAACATGGCTTCGAAAAGAGACCAAGAAATATCAGGAATAATAACAGGTGGAGCAAAGGGTTGGTTGCTTGATGCCTAGTGGATGGCAGAAGTTGTGAGAAGAATCTTACAAAATGTGTAGTCTGGCCTAAAATGTCAAACCATACAGTACTGATCAGAACTCTGACGACCCGAACTGACTGGAGGTTCGTTTGAGACTCTTGACTGTGGAATCCCGACAGAGATTCATTGTCTTTGTTTTAAAAAATTGAATATAAGAGAAAAACGAAGAGAAAAATGTGTGGAAACAGCAACGTAGAAGTGATAGAAAGGTAAAGATATGTTTAGCCTATAACCTTTACCCAGGGTGATGGCATGTCGCTGGCCGACCTGATGAGATTCGTCTTCTCTCTCGCTCGTTCGCTCGCTTCCTCCAAGAGATGATGCCACTATCATTGTGTCATCTCCCTAGAAAATGGCTGGGAAAGGAAAACTAATAAAAAAAAAGATATTGTCCATTGTTCATTCTGCCTTTGGTGCAGTGCTGAGGCCTGAAGAATTACTGATAGACCACAAAAAGCCAGAGACGACAGAAACGCAATATAGAACCAGGCAGAGAATGTAGATCGTAAGATAGACAAGATTTGTGGTGCTGGAAAGGTAAGGCGAAGAATACCACAAACATAGTTGATGATGATTTGACAAAGGCCTTTATTCCTGCAGAGAACTTGTAACAGATTATACTCACAAAGTTATATACTAAAAATCAGGATATATACGGGATGTATGGAAAAAAAAGGACTTTTACAATGGTTTCCTCCCACCAAAACAAGGACAAAAGTCCATATAAACATATGTCCGAAAAACATTCAGTCTTCAATCTTCGACAAATGGCGCTGCGTTGTCATAGAGTCTTGGTTACTTTTGTCATTCGTGTATATTGTGGCTAGTCTGTCTTCAACGATTAAATTGTGTAGTAGTGGGCTAAATGAGAAGTATTCCGTTTAACAATTTCAGGATATTCATATCGTAAGCAGGCAGATATGAGTTTTACATAAGGCTTCCGTTAACCCGTGGTGTATATGTGTGTGTTCATATATATATATATATATATATATATAGCAGCATGGCCCGGCGTTCCCGTGCTTGATTAAAAAATCGTACGACTCATACAGCAATGGCTATCACTTGACTTAAAATATTTTTGCCCTTTCTTGCCTTTAAAGGAGTGCCCTTTGCCGTACTGGTGTTGCCACATCCCTTACTTCTTGCCTATCTCACACTGCGATTTTTTTCTAAGCTCTATACTAAACATTAAATCTGTTACGAAAAAAGAACTAAACAAAATAAACACAAAACGATCAGTTTTGAGAAAGGACTCGTAACTGGAAAAACCGAATGAAAAAAGAATGTTAACAACAAATACTTTTTCACACCCAACCCAGTTCTGCGGAATCAGAATCAACGTTGAGTTTAAGCCAATTGGAGTAAAGTGCCATGCAAATTTAAATTTTTCCCACTTGTGACGAATGCAGCTATCGAACTTTATATTTGTATTAATCAGTTAATATATATATATATATATATATATATATATATATATATATATATATATATATATATATATATATATATATATATATATATATATATATATATATATATATATATATATATATATATATATATATATATATATATATTATTATTATTATTAATATTGCAAATAAGCCGTTTTTAAAATATGGCTCCTTGGTTACTCAGAAATTACCAGGAATTTTTTTTACTATAATATATAATAATAATAATAATAATAATAATAAAATAATAAAATATAGTTTTAAGGTATGCTTTATGTATGTGTTAAAGTGCTCAATATTAGAGATAGAGCGTACATAAATATAAAATGGCCTGACGATTGCGTTGATCAAGACTGTCTCCTCTGGGTGTTAACTCCAATGTACATATATATATATATATATATATATATATATATATATATATATATATATATATATCAAAAGGAAATGTGTGTGTGTGTGTGTGTGTGTGCTAAAACATAGTTTTAATGTATGCTATATCCATGAATAAAAGTGATAATGTCTGGGATAGAGCTTATGTAAATCTAAATATAAAAGCTCTCAGGAGTGGATGTAAAATCTGGGAAACTGTTTTGTTAGATTCAACCGAAAAGGTCCGTCTAATTTGTTATACATCTAAATCAGAATTGTGGATAAACTGCCCAAGGTTCATATTTTTGTCATGTTTTATTCAACTACTTTCGACCTTCTCAGTCATTATCAAGAACTGAACGTTGTCACTATGATAGACAATGTACATACATAAATTCATATGCATATATCGATGCATATATAGTCGCACATAAGCACTGACAAACACACATTCACGCAAACACGAAACCATATTCACAATGACACTGACAGTCACAGATACGCACAGATACACAAGTT